TGTCCCCCACTACCAGAGCTCTCCCTTTCTGTACTGCTCAAATTCAGGGCTGCATGGGGGAGGAAAGGGTTTCAGGTTGGAAACCACAGAGGAGGCTGCTTAGTGCCCAGCCAGTTTTGTCAGCTCACAAAGCTCTCAGTGATCTCAAAGATTCCTGCCTTTGTGTCTGCTTTCCCAGGGCAGGGAGGGTTCCGCATCTCTGAACAGGGGGAGGAGTATTTGGCTGAAGGAGTCATGGTCAAAGCAGGTACATCAAGGAATAGATCTAAATCTTTTTGAGTCTGGTTACTCTTATTTTGTTTCATAATGGGAATCTCTGTTTATTTTCCAAAGAATGTGTCTCACAGAAAGTAAAGGTGATTGTAAATGAGCAAAACATTTCCAGTATTACAAAATAAGACATTTTTTAAATTCAAACTTTTAAACTTTTCTAACTTTAAAAGGTTTCATTAATATAGAAAAATATACACTATTTTTAATCACCTACCATACATTTAATATTTTTATCATTTCCTGCAGAAATGCAGACACACAGAGCAAACAAGTATCATATTTCTTAGTATTATTACTCAGTAGTAAAAATAATCAGAGGACCAGAACTTTACAAAGTTACATAAATAGATGTTAAATGAAAAGATGTTTATCCTCACTCATAACGAGAAAGAAAACAGTAATTAAAACCTCAATGAGATTCTATTTTTCACCTGTCAGGTTAACAAAGTCCTGATGTTTGACAACATACTCACAAATTCATATACATGCGGATAGGCAAGCCATGTGGGGCTCTCTGGAGGGCAGGTTGGCAGTGCACACAATCAGATAGACATAAAACTGGTTATTCATAGTAGCAATAAATAAACCAAGGGCCTATAAGAGGAAACTGATGTTATGTAATTTATGTTCACCAGGGAAATACCTCTGGCTCTCTAAATATATATATATATACATAAAATGAGATCTCAAATTTATAAATGAAAAAGTGCAGAATAATATATACTATATGTAGGAAAGCATAATGGGAATATACACCCATATATATGTTTATATATATTCCTATTCACAGGAATTTAAAGTAACATATTTTGGGGTTTGCACCATGTGAATGTATTATATAATGATTTCAGTAAGTTTATCTTATTACAATATTATATTGTAATATCTAACATCCTGATTATTTTCCATTGCTTTTAAGGAATTTGCATTTGTGAAGACGTGTATTTGTCTGTCATTTGACATCCTTGATTAATTTCTTATTGGACATATGTGTTAATTTGTGGCTAGTGTATGTAGTGCTATACATAAAATTATCCTTGCATATAATTTTAGCATATATATTTTGCTTCCTTTGATAACTGATGAATCAAATAGTGTAAACAATTTCCAGGTGAATCATGTTCCTTATATGGGTGCTGTGCTCTCTCTAGGATGATGACCATTTGTGGCTTGATCTGCGACAGCCATGTTGGAGTTCTGGAGTTGTTTTAAGTCACTTGCTGGTCTCAAACCAGGCTGTACTTTAGGATCACCGAACATTGTTTATAAGTTCCTATACCCGGCCTGTGATAAGCTGTATGTCTCAGTGACTCTCAAGGGCTCCTAAGAAGACAGAGAGACCCATAGGTAGAATGGACAGAGCAACAGATGTCCAGTAAGACTTGGAATCATGTGGACTCTGGGGCTTATTCAGTGTTCAACACGGGCATATTTAATACTGTGGCTTACTGGTTATCTCTGGGCATATTTAATTTTAGGGTTACAGTGTGATTAACCTGGGGCCTCTGAAATCTGGCTTGATGTAGTGAAATGGACATAATGTCTGTATGGTGGTGCAGTTGAGACATTGGAGAGAAGGTGGACCTCCCTGCAGAATTCCTGATGCTCACTACATGGTAGGTATTTCCTATTAATTCAAAGAAATCAAACAGCAAACAAATAGTCTAACAGAAGATAATGGAAATCATGCATTCAGTTATGTAAGTGTTCGTGGTTCATAAGAATGTTGAGTTTATAGCCTTTCAGGTGAATTATGTATCATCTTGCTTTTTATCAATTTATGTCTTAGTCCTCTAATTTTCTGGTTGGCAATTATATAGGACTTTGAGTAATAGAATGGAGAAATTCAGCTATTGTTAATTTGGCCCATTTGCTAGACAAAAAGACTTCAAACAATGAAGTCTATGAAGAAAATAATTCCAAATCAGAAGAGAATACATAACAGGGGCCAGGTGCAGTGGCCCATGCCTGTGATCCCAGCGGCTCTGGAGGATGATGCAGGATGATTGCAAGTTCAAAGCCAACCTCAGCAACTTAATGAGGTGCTAAGCAACTCAGTGAGGCCCTGTCTCTAAATAAAAAATACAAAAGGATTGGGAACGTGGCTCAGTGGTTAAGTGTCCCTGAGTTTATTCCTTGGTACAAAAAAAAAACATAATAGGGGCAAGTCTTAAAGTTTTGAGAATTGTTGCCTGGAAAATTTCTCTTTTGTAAAATAATTAAGAACATATGAGGGGCTGGGGTTGTGACTCAGTGGTAGAGGGCTTGCCTAGCATGTGCAAGGCTCTGGGTTCATCCTTGGCACCACATAAAAAAATAAATAAAATAAAGGTATTGTGTCCAACTACAACTAAAAAATAATTATTAAAAAAAGAACATATGAAGTTTTGTTCATCATTTTTTCCTTATACTTGGGAAATGTATGGATTACTCTAGCCCTACAATGACTATTGAGACATGACTGTCTTCATTTGGAATTGTATAAACCTTTGCCTCAAGTTTTTTTTCATCAAACACCTGTGGATGTAACCTGCTGTTCTAGTCTGTATTTCATCCAGCCATGTGCCATGGACTTGAATCATAGAAGGCCTATTGGTTAATGAGAGATCAGTGTGTAAAAGCCTTCTCAGCATGAAAAATTACGTGGCAGTTGGCCTCTAGCCCTTTAATAAAAATAATAGCACAGCATTCTGGAGAGGAAATACAGGAAGGTAATGAGGATACAGAATTTTCTAAAGGGTAACTTGAGGGCAGGGCTCCTGAAGCCAGGCTGCTTAGCTTCAAGTGCCAGCCTTTTTGATTATTCCCTCTATAGCTATGGGGAAGTTCCTCAGCCATTGCCACCTCAGTTACCCCTTGTGTAAAACAGATAGTTGTACATATCTCCTAGGCTGTTTGTGAGAATTAAATGAGGGGACATGTAGTTAATGTAGCACCTGGTATGTAGTAAGCATTATAAAGCAGTTGCTATTATTACTTCATTGAGATGTCAATCACTGAATTTGAAACTGTAATCTTCAATTTTAATACATTCTTCTAAGGATGGATAAACATAGTGTGAGAATAAACTATAATAATAATGTGCTATATATTTCACAGGGTAAAGAATAATGATTTTGAATGTTTTTATGACTAAAAATGATACACGTACAAGGGGATAGATATGCTTATCCTTATTTGAACTTACACAATGTATACATGCATTAAACCATCACGTGTTTCCACAAATATGTACAAATTTTAAGTGTCATTTTAAATAAAAGGAGCAAATGGTATAGCTAGTTAGAGTCATACTGAGCAGCCAGGGCTCTAACTGGCTATGAAATGTGATTTCTGGTCCAGGATTCCTTCCACCATGCCATGGGACTTCTCTATAAGGGGTAGTTGTGCTGTGGGGGAAAAGATTGAACCAAGAAGGTTGCATAACCTACCTCCTTCTTGGATTCCTTAGAATGTTCCTCAAGGTGATTGTGAGGACCTTAGGGCCCAGTAATTCTACTGAAGGAGCTAGGATATCACAATACTATCCATCTCCAGAGAGAACCATTAAGGGTCCTCTTGTACATGAAGCTCAGCCTACTTCCCAACAAGAGGACACACACTCTCAAAAAGGAAGGCAGAGCTTCTTTCTATGGCTAGGGGACAAATTATGGTGATTACAGAGTAGGTCACAATTTTATCTAAAGAGGAAAGACAAATTGGAAATCAGTATGTATATGAAGAGAAAACAGATGTACTCACAAACCTTTAAGAAAATTCTCTGACTCATTGTAGGATGCCGTTAGTAAAGCAGGAATGCATGTGTTTGATTTTGTTTTGTTTCTCCAAATTGATAGTGGATAAAAGGAAGACATGATATTGGGTCAATTATACACACACACAAACTAGGTTCCACTGGACTTGACTTTAAATCAATACTATTACTTAAAAAACTAGTGACTTTATAGACTGTAGGCCATAATTGTGCCTACATTGAAGGACTCTTACAGGATTCATGGATTGGATTGCCTGGTGCACGGTAGTAGCTAAGTCCCTGCTCTATTCCACCCATCCTCTGCAGAAAATTGAGAACAGATCATCCTTGGTGCTTTGCTGGTATATAAATGTGTTATAAACTATTTCTGGAGTTCAGCACATACAAATGCTATGGATGACTTGCCTGAACCAAGCATTACTAACTCATGTAACCCATACAATTCTATAACACAGGGTTTTCTAACTTCATTTTATAGGAAGAAATTATGGCACATAGATTGCAAGTCTCTGAGGTCACCCAGACACTAAATTCCAGACCCAGGATTGAAACCCAAGCTATCTGGGTCCTTCATCCATATCCTCAACTCCTCTGTCTCACTGCCTCTTGTGGTTTAGTGCAGTATTTACATTGGTATTGTGAGGACCAGGAAACAGTGCTTGTGAAACCCTGGTACAGAGCTGGGCACACACAGTGCAAGTCTTGTTTTCCTATTTTCATGGGAATGTCTTAAACAAAACGAATGTCAATCTTTTACCTTTAAAAGAGCAGTAATATGACTCTCCATTTGGTTCTGACTCCTTTTGGAGCCAGTGCCCCTAGGAAAGCCCTAAAATTCCCATCTCAGGGATAGAAGTGAAAATTGGTGTTGGATCCTCGTTAATAACCATGGCTTGAAGTCAAGATTCAGTTGTCATGCTGCTTGTCACTTTGAACTTTCAATTTATTTCCATCAAATTAAAGTCCACATGGCCCAAAGTAGACTGTTGTGTTTATTATGAAAAATAAAGAACAGAATTCAAGTAGCAAAGAAGGCAATTTCAGGATGTGTGGAATGGAAGGCTTTAAGGTGGTCTCTGGTTAAAGGGCACTAAGGGATGTGTCTAGAAGCTGTCCATTGGCCCCACGAAGGTTGAGATGATTGGGCTGGCTGGAGGGGCTGATAGGGACTAGAAACACAGGGACTAGGTACCACTAAGTGCTACTCATTGTTACAGAGTGAAGATGCTCCATTTGCCCACTGGTTAGAGAAACCCTTACTGCAATAGTGACAGAATTATACAGGTGAGAACCCAAGGAGCTGTAACCCAGCAAGCAAACCTAGCCAGGTTCTCAGCAGACACTCTTCAGGACAATAAACCAAGAACACAACACAACTCCGTTGTGCCACCATTTGTTAGGTACTCTTCCCATTTCTACCGACAGCTGTTTTTCTTAGCAGACTGAAGGTGACGAAGGCCAAGTAGACCACACTCTTGAGGAGTAAGAGGAGGTAGGTCCAGTAGACAGAGGTGTTTGTGAGCTGCAGCTTTAGTGCATCTAAGAGAAGTCAGGTAATTAGTTTCACTTGTTCTTTTGGCATGATAGGACCCTTCATGGGGAAAGTTTCCACAGATGTTTATTTTTGGTGACCTACACTGAAGTGACACCACCCCCACCAAACCCCAAAGGTCAACATCTACCACTCCCACCCAAACCACCAAGAGCAAGGTTTAGCTTGTAAGTCGATTACCAATATTTGCCTTACTTACTTAGAACCTTCCTAATATTTAAAAGTAAGAATCCATGTTTAATGGATGTGTCAATGGGGAACAAAAGTATGTGTGATAACTAGATTTTAGAATTTCTTTACCCCAACCTGTCTCTAAGTACAAATAATATATAATATTCATTAACCATTAATCGAATGACACATAGTATGTTAAGAATTAATTTGCATGTAAAATTTTAGTCTTATTTAATCTGTATAGTAGCCTATACAAAATGGGAATAGAGTCTAGTCTGTGGTACTCCAAAGCCCATGCATCTTCCCACCCAAACATATATGTCCATGGTGTTTCAGAGTCTTGACTTTGGAGTTTCTTGCTTTGTGACTCATTTATAGTTGTCTCATATGAAAACACATTGTTTATTATGATAGTATAATGCCTAGGAAGTGATGGATTAAATAAATATCCACAGTCTTTTCTGCAAAATCCAGCCATTCTGATTTTTCTACCTTAAGTAAAGGAAGTTCAAAAGTTAGAATGATCAGGAGTGGGAGAAGCTATAGCATGAGATAAAGAAAAACACACACTAAAAATTAAGATTTTACCTTTTAAATAAGCTTCAGATTCAGTAGTATTGACAACTAGAAGAAATAAGAGCAAGTAGAAGTCAATTATCATGTCCATTATTTGACTGTATGTACCTGGGTATGGGTAAACTTCAATATCAACACTGGAGACAGTCAACCAAAAGTTAATATCTATGAGTGACCATTGCTGTGCCAAGCACTGTTAAATGTTCCACACTGTTTGCATCTCCAGTGACACATAAGTGTGTTCAATCATGGATGGTAACCATTTTATGAATGAGCAATTAATTATAAATGGTGTAGCATCATCAGGTATCTTAATTATTCTTAGCATATAGCCTTTTCTCTCTCTTTTTTCCACTCTCTCTTTTTTTTAACCATAGATTCAGCATTTCAGTGCAAGTCTTTCTAATGACACAAGATAGGAATTTTTACATTCCTAATTCTCTGAATAAACCTAAGGCGAGAGCTGTATTTATCTATCATGACTCCTAGGAAATGATGGATTAATTAAAATGTCACTCCGTCTATTCTGACACATCTAATCATTCTGATTTCTCTAACTTACACGAGGGAAGTTCAAAAAGTAAGATGCTCAGGAGGAGGAATATTGTATAGCATGATACGAAGACAAACGTGCTAAAACCTACCACTTTCACATTTCAGATCAGCTTTTCTGGCATTAATAGTGGTGACAGCTAGAAGAAAAGAGAGCAAGATTAAGTCTAGTATTCTTGTCTATTATTTGAAAGTTTATGTATGTGTACACATACACGTATTTATATGCACGTAAATAAATATACACACATCTCTGGAAGCATAGAAGACATAATCATTAAAACTGAGTCCCACAGTTCCAAAAATAGTCTGATTCCAGATAATTGAGCAGCTATCATATAATATTTTTCCACACACACAGATATTGAAATTCATGAAAGATTTTTTTTCCTTTTTTATCATAACTGGATTATAATATCCAAGACTGATCTTCCTCCTTACTCAAAGCTCCTCACAAGTAGGCACAAATATGTCAGTGGGAAAATAAAAGAATTAGCTGCTTTTCAGGTTTCTGCTCACACTCCTAATACGATGTTACACTAAAATGAATCTGTCCAATCTTAGAGTCAATGACAGAATCATGCACTTTTGAAGGAGTCTCAATTAGAGAAATTTCCTCTGCTTAGTACTTTTCCAAATCATGCATATCCCCAATATTCCTGGTTCACGCACACGATTTCCTGAAGGTTTGGTGTTTGTAGGCATGGCGATATCAATATTAATTAAAGTTCATATACATTGAGTGATCCCTGTTTGCTTGGCACTGTGTTAAATGCTTCACATGAATTATCTTGTTTAAATCCTCAGTCACACTTAAGTGAGTTGTATTGTGGCAGGGACGGTTACTGCGGATTGAACTCAGGGTTGCTTTATCACTGAGCTCTATCCCTAGTCCTTTTAAAATTTTATTCTAAGTCAGGGTTTCACTAAGTTGTTGAAGTTGGTCTTGATTTTCAATCATCTTGCCTCAGCCTTACGAGTCACTAGGATTGCAAGCACACACTACTACACATGGCTGAGTTGCATTATTGATAGTCTCATGTCATGAATGAGGAAATAAAATTTGAAGGGTTTACATAACTAACCAAGAGTCCTATCAGTGAATTGCTGGGTAAATATCTGAAGATATCGAGGGGAATTTTTTTTTAAATGTGGAAATTACTTTGCATATAAATACAGAGAAAATAATTTATACAGAAACAAACAATTCCACCACTCTGGACACTAAGAAAATCCCCTAGAATCTTGAGTATTCTTAGAAAATGCCTTTAAAAAAAATAGGTGCTGAGCATTTCAGTGCCATTCTCTCTGGAGATAGAAAGATAGGCCCAATCACATTTTTAGTTCTCAGAATCAAACTCAGAGTAACAGTTGTATTTACCCACAGCTAGGAAACAAAACTAGAGTAATCTGCTATCACTCTTTCCCCAGTCATTACACATAGTAGACAAATGAATGAATGAAGTCCCTTTGTTGAAATGCTTCAGAGCCTATGGCTGTATCCTCTTATTTACAGTCATCTCATACCAGTGTCTGTAGTTTACTGTGTTAATATGATGCCAAGGAAACAAAGGACAACTTAAAGTGACACTCAGTCCATTTTGGAACAACCAGATATTCTGATTTCTCTGTCATAAGTGATGAAGTTCAGAAGTTAAGATGATCAGAGGAGGGAAAATGATATCGAATGAGGTGAAGGCAAACACACACTAAAACTCACCATTTGTAACTTTCAAATCGGCTTCTCTGGGATTCATAGTGGTGACAACTAAAAGCAATAAGAACAAATATCACTCAATTATTCACGCCCATTATTTTAAAGCATGTGAGTGTGTGTGTATATAGACAATGGTTGTTTTGGTTGGTTCTTTTTCTACTAGACATGTTCTTGTCTATATGAATATACTTAACACTCTGCAATATTATTGAACATTGACTTATTTTTTGTGTGTATTTTAAAAATGGAGTTGAGGTATAGGTCTTAGGGGTAAGTCTCTAGAAATAAAATATCAGTATGGTTATATTTGAATTGAAAATACCATTAAAAACTGACTGTAATGGATCTAAACAGTGTATCTCTTAGGGGCTGCGGTTGTGACTCAGTGGTAGAGTGCTTATCTAGCATGTGTGAGGCACTTGGTTTAATCCTCACCACCATATAAAAATAACTAATAGAATAAAGGTATTGTGTCCATCTACAACAAAAAAATTGTTTTTGAAAAAAAGTGTATCTCTTTCCTTGTGATATATTCACTAAAAGATAAATGAAAATCATTTTTACCATGAATCATTTGAGGTAAATAGAAGAAAGTACAGTTCCTAAGTAATAAAGTCTGTGTGCTCTTTAAGTTCTCTCAAAGCTTATTGTAAACATGAAAATACTATTTTATCTCCCTTCAAAATAATCACTTCATTAATTCATTTCCATGTGCTATTTTTCAGCTTTTACCAAACCAAACCAAACCAAAACAAAACAAAACAAAAAAGAACCTTCAAAAAGCAGCATTGGAAAAGATGACATTGACAAAAGCTCTCTCCTCAGCACTGGAGCCAGAGAAGCCCATGAGAAACATTTGTTTTAGAAATCAGTGCCTAGTAAATTATTATTAAACTGGAACCTCTCTCCTACACGAGATTCATCACCATGTAACTTAATATTCTTTTTAATTTTCTCTGATCAATAGAACAATCTGAACCTAATTGGACACTTATGCACAGTGGTTAAGTTAACCTTGTGTTTGCATATTTACCTCCCCTCTGTTTCTCAGCATGGAAAACAGAAAATTGGGGTTGGTTTTGTATTCTTGTTTAGTTGATTTTAGGAAAGGATGTAAGTACAATAAATATAGAAATATCTGAATCCATGCTCTATTTTTTTAAGAAAACATTTTTTTTTCCTAACAGCATTTCATTTGATCTTTGTCATAGCTCCAGGGAAAACCAGGCAACTGTTCAGACTTCAGTAGTGATTGCAGAAAGTTAGGGTCCCAGCGACTGAAGGTTTACTTGGGAAACTGGAATGGACTATGGCAAAGCTCTTCACCCCGTTTGCCACGTGCCAGTTTCTCGCTGGCACAATAGGGGCTCGGAGCCACAGGGAAAATTACAAAGAGATTGCTTCCCATGCCCACTAGGCCTTTTGGACTGCTGTTTAACACTCAGGACTGTGAATATGTAGTGAGTCACTGGACCACTGCAAGGCCTCTGCACATTCAGGCTTCTGCCTATCTTTGTTGAATATGTACCTCAATGCACCCAAAGGATTCCTTTGGGACATCGTGCCTGAGTCCTATGTGGTCCTAAGTGACAGGGAAAAAGGATTCTCTCTTGACTGCAATACATCCTACTGGCAGTACTAATTCTAGAATATTCATCCACATTCCAACTCAGGCCTGGCATATGTGAATAGAACAGGAAATGTTTATGTAGCTACATTTACCAATGGAAGGAGAAATTTGTCATGGAAAAATGGAGTATCTTCATACACGTTAGGCTCATTGAAGCATAAATTATGAAATTCTTTCTAACAGTGATATATAAAATAAAAATCAGAAATACTTAAAGCTAACATAGAACTTCAGTGGCTAAGATTATTCCAAATCTTTTGGTGGTGTTGGGCCATGCTCCTGCTCTTTTGTCTGAGCATAATTTTTTCAATTAAGAACTCATTGTAAGTTAACCTGTGCATAGCAAGATTGAAGTAGGCAACTTTACTTGCTTCATAGAACATTTCTGAAATATACATAATTGTTTTGATTTCTAAATCAGGTAAAATCATCAAAAGTAGAAACTTCTTTTTAATATTTTACAAGTATTGAGTTGCTAGATACTTTAATTGTCTTATTTCATATAGTCCACATAAAAATTATAAAACACATCCTATAGTTTTAATACTATAAATATTGAACTGAGGCTGAGAAAGCTGAAATAAATTTTTCAGAGTTTTCTCCAAATTATGTACCATTTCATTTCTATGGGGAAAATCACAGGATATATATTCTGCCATTAAACGTTATTATATTTAAGAAAGATTTAGACTTGATTTCATTAATGCTTGGAAGGAAAGATGTGGTATTCCCTTTCAAATTTTTTTCTGGAAATTTATGTTTACATTTAAATGCACATACCTTTCCTTATTGCAGGAAAGAGAATCTCTTGATCAACTCCTCTTTTATTATTCTCGTGTTTGACAATACACTTGTGCTCTTTATCCATTGACTCTCCAGTCACGGTTAGCCAGCTCATCTTCATGTATGTGTCCTTAGTCTTCATGGTATTTCCCTGATGGGATTCCAGAATCCTATAACCTCCATTTTCTTTCCAATATACCTTAATAACATCAGGGAAAAAGTTCTCCAGAAGACAAAGATATGTCCCAGCATTATGGAGATTTGTTTCAGCAACTGAAGGAAGAAAAATCGTGGGCTTGGGGTAAATGTCTGCATTAAAGATTTTATCTGTGGAGGAAATGGAAAACAGATTTTAAAAGGTAATTAGAGAGTTACAAACATTGCTTGATTTGGAATAACCTAACATATATCAATAGGAAGACAAGTTGCCATTGAATTAGTGCCCACCATGGCCTTTTATTCCCCATAGGTTGCAGGGAGCTTACCGTAGACCTTATTTTACAGATGTGCAAAAAGGTTCAAGAAGTTAAGTAACTAGCCCAAAGACACAGCTATGAAGTGGAAGATCTAGAAGGAAGCTTGACTTTTGTTCTTTTTTCCACATGCTAAGAGAGGTGTGACTTTTAATTGTTCCTGAAGGAGGCTTCCAACATTCTTGAACCCATTAACTTTTTGTTTACATCTCCTTAGTTTTCTCCTAGTAGAGTATGTGTTGTCAAGATGAATGAAGAGGAGCAGAAGACAACCAGACCTTTTTAATGATCTTTCTAGATGAGGCTCTGTGGTCCCTTCTAAAGTACTTCCCTTGTCCATCCTTTGTCACTTCTGCTCTCTGGACATGTAATTCACTGTCTCATGCTCTGCAACTCTGCAAACTAGTCTTCATTTAGCTAATTCTAGAATGCAGCCTATTTATCTTATTTCTCATAAAAATAAATGCCAGGAGGCAGCTTTTCATTTTTCTTTGTAACAACACGCTGTTACTTGTTTCAATAGGCCTCTACTTCCATGTGTACCTGTAATCTGTCAGGTTGGTCTCTTGGCTTCAAATGCAGATGCATACCTACTTGTGAAGCTCCTGAAGTTTCTAACTTTATTTAACATTTTGCTTTAACATCTGTCCTACTATAGGATTTTGGGTTGGGCAGTATTTAAAGCCACACCTCCAAATTATTCAGTGTTTTGAATTTAGACAGAAAATATCAACATTTCCTCAGCAAACTATTTAAAATTTGTATTGATTATTTTCAGAAATGTTCTTGTATAAATTTTACCAAACAATGTGCTTATCAATAGAAAATTTTCATCAAAAACATTTTATTTGGGAATATCATTTGAAGTTCAAGTGTCACTAAGATACACCAAGGGTGTATTTTTTTGTACTTATTTCATTAGGGTGAGGGAATATACCTATCAGTATATTTGTGTTTGACTCTCTCAAAATTTGCATTAGCGCAGTCTCCTACATCTCTCCTTTGCAATTCAATCTGTCTCTTCATCTTAACCTACTAAATAAAACGTATATGTAGTTGATGTAATGTTAAAAGTTATAGTTCCAAGAGTTTCTTGCAGACATAATGTAAAAATATACAACAAATTGTGATTTATTTACAACCCCATACCTTGCGTATCTTGAATGTTAACTGGTTTTACATTTATTTTTAACACAATTCCTTGTTATAAATGATGGAATTATTTCAATTTGATTGCAAGTTGAAACTCAGATGCCTTACAAATATTCTCTTAGGACTAATTTGAATTTAGTATAATAATTCAACAGGTGATTTATTAAGGAAAAAAATCAGATTTCACGCTTGAGAAGAAAAGAAAAAAAGTTCTTGATGATTTCTGTCTGGGTAGTAGCAAAGTTCCTAACTTGTATACAAAATCAGTAAGCATATAATGTTAATATTCCTGACGTGTTATAAATATATTAGGGGCATAATGTGTTTATTTTAATTTTTTGCATCTTTCTTTTAGTGTAAATAGTAAGCATACTGCATATTTATCCAACTGTATACTTTATTTGTAGTTTCAAAGGTATGTTATAAAAGGTGATTAATTTTTCAATTGTAAATTTTATAATTTTAGTAAAATAATGTATTAATAAATCTAATTTTCATCTTAGAAGCTGTGTTTCTTGATGGAATGTTTCTGATTCATTATAATAAAGCAATTAAAAATCAAATGATGAATTGGAAAAATTCCTGTACAATACCCCATCTGTATTACCTGTTGTATCTTTTCCTTAGGTAGTTTAAGTTTCATACTTTTGAGTACAGAATATGTCTTGAACTGCCTCAAGGTAATAATGAACTAAGTATTACAAAGTATACTTGATTATATAGAGTTAGAACTTATATTCTGAATGCTACATGGTTTTGAAAGCATTACTTTAAAAATTATATATTAAGATTTTTTTGGAGTATGGGTACCAGGGATTGAACTCGGGGGCACTCAAGCAGTGAGCCATATCCACAGCCCAATTTTTTGTGTTTTATTTAGAGACAGGGTTTTACTAAGTTGCTTAGCACCACACTTTTGCTGAGGCTGGCTTTGAACTAATGAGCCTCCTGTCTCAGCTTTCCAAGCCAGTGAGATTATAGATGTACACCACTGCCCCCGGCAAGATATTTATCATGATCAAAATTTTTATAATATGGCAAATTGTAGCCACTCTGTTTTATTTGAATAATAAATAAAATGGCTATCAATACATCTTATTTAAATAAATAAATGAAGCTGTTTGATTAATTTATGTATGTTCATTTGCCTCATAAAGGAGTGCATTTTGAATTAAATACCTAAGCTTGTATTTTAAGATGCACTCACAAATTTCATATAAATTTGCCAAATATCAACTGCTTGTTTATTAAAAGTATTTTCCAAATCTACATATGAGAACTTATTTAAAGGTTGTCTATTTTTCCTTGATCAAATAACACTACCTACTTCATATTTAAATATTTATTTCAGATTTATGACAATTTTCCAACTATATTTCAATGATTTATAGTGTTCCTATTTTCTGTATGAATCCAAAGTTCTTTTCTGATAAATATTGGTGGGATAATAATAATATTATTATTGTTTGTCTAAAATTTTGAGACCATTTATATTGATGTTAGAGATGTTACTAATTAAGATAAAGAAATAAGATTCAAAGTATGTAAAATCATTTTTTAAAAATGCACATTTTGGGCTGGGATTGTGGCTCAGGGTAGTGTCCTTGACTGGCATATGTGAGGCACTGGGTTCGATTCTCAGCACTGCATATAAATAAATAAAATAAAGATCTATCAATAACTAAAAATTTTAAATCTTTTTAAAACATGCTCATTTCAGTTATTCTTATTATTCTTGCCAAGTGATGGAAAATTCAGATTCAATTTTTTATGAGTGAATGTTAAGGTAAACTACATTTGAGCCATTAGAAATATTGCTGAATCTTCTGGAAAATTTCTGCTCTGTAGTAAGTGTTATTATTTGAAAGCAACACTCTGTAGTGAAGATGATTCTCTCTTTACATTTAAGTTGGAAGAAAAGTAATGGGGCTTCTATTTTGTATTGAATACTGTGCCAATAATTTTATTCACATTAACTCATTTGATTATCACATAACTTTGCTAGGTTCATATTATTATCCCATCTTATGAATCCGGAAATTAACACCAAAGAATAATTGTCCAAATTTACTAAACTGTAAGCAAGGGAGCTGGAGGTTCAAGTCTGCTTGCCTTCAAAGCTCAGACTTCCAGAACACATTTCACTGAGAATAGGGAATGTGTGCCCTCCATTGAGTCTATCACCATCGTATCTACAAGAAGGAACTTTGTCCCAGTGTCAAACACTTTCATATCATTATACAGTTTTATATGAGCACTTTGTAGAAGTTCACATATACACAAAGCCAAATGCTGTTATTACATTATCTGCACAATGTTGTCTCTTTTCCTTTAGTATGGCATTTGGTTAAAATCTCTCCTAAGATTGCTACATCGATTTCCCCTCACATACCTCTTTTTTCTAAACATTCTTACTATTTTTCCAAGAGGATCATTTCTTGCCTTCCTTCTATCTCCTTGGAAATGGACTCTTAGGATACTCACCTGTGACAACAAGTTTGGTTCCACTACCGAAGACTTTCTCAAAGTTGTTCCACAGTGACATAACCCTCATCAAAAACATTAGATGAATTTGGCTTCTCTGAGTTCTTCAAATTCTAGTGGCAACATGATGGCCTAGAATTTTTAAGAGAATAGGGTTCTGGTTCTGGTTAATTTCATTCAGCAAGTTCTATGGCTAAGCAAATCAACTAACTTTAAGGGTTTTCATGTTACATTTATCTTAAAACGATGACAGTGGTGTCAGTCAATTTAAACCAGAAATAAAGTGAGTCTAAAATCAACAATTTGATTAAAATATTATAGAAAAACAGCAGATTGTTATCATCGTTATCATTGTTATAATTAGAAACTTACTGCTACGTCTATGGGCTTCAACATGACAATTAATTTCACAGGACAAGCTTTGGCCTTACCCATCAACGTTGGGGGTTGCAATTAGATCCATGGTGATTAAGGAGGGAGAGTTGTTCCTCTGTCTTCTGTTCAAATATGTCAGGAATTCTCAAAGCCATCATTATAGGAAATGTTCCTTTTACACTAGCAAGCTTTATCAGGCTCTTATCTGTCTTATCCTCTCCTTTTCAGCAAACAAAGGGAGCCCCAGCTCAAACCAGCAGGTGCAGTTGGTGAGTGGAAACACTTCACTTCTGCTGTCCAAAATAATACCTCTTTTCCCAACCAGCAGCCCCACACGTGTGAATTCTAAGCTTTGTCTAGAATGTTCAGCCTCAACTTTTTTTGATCATTTCGTGCCAAAGTATACGTTACAACTGCTGGCTTGGGCTGTTGAGGCAGAATGACCACAGAAATGACAAGAAGCCTGGTCCTCAAAGCCATCTTAGGTCACTGTGTGCTATCTGCCTGACCTATGTGCTGAGAGACCCTATGTGTGCATCACATGAAATGTCATGAGACCCACAGCACCAATGCAGGGCTGGGATGCAATGAGCTTAATGATCCTTCCCTCAGTTCCCCAAGTGGAGGTTGAAAGTGATGTCCTCACTACATGTCACTTCCTTCGGAAAGGGCTTGCCCATTGCAATTCTTTTCTAATTTTATAATGGGAAAAAGCATCATATTTAAAAATTAGGTGTGCTACTTTTATCAGTTATTAAAAAGCATATATTCCACTACATTTTTCTTCTACTTTGACCATAAAGTCTCTGTGCTTGTTGCTAGATAATCACAGGACTTTTTTCTTATCCTTAGTGCTTTTGACCTATTTTTATTGAATGATCTGACTCTACTTGTGTATTTTATTTTAGATTTTCTCAAATAGATATTGGTAATAGATTGTTTTAATATATGATCCATGATTTGTGTATATAGCATGTTTCTCTTTTGTTCCCAGGGTTTTCAAGATTTGTAAAGTCTAGCTCAAATAAGGCACAAAGGATGGAGAACAGGTTTGCAAATCCTGGCTCTGTTACAGAGATGCCGACATGCTGAATTTAAATATTCTGAAGGTGCTGGAACACAATATGAAACTTTCTTTTCCCAAATTATTCCTTTACAGTGGTTGCCTTTTGGTTAGAAAGGGGAATAAGTCAGGCTATAATAGGGTACTGTCTTTGTACCTTTAGGAAGAGGTACCCTTCAAGGACAAAATATGAGCCTACAATGAACCTCAGTTGATGCTATTTTTGGAGATAGCACTGGTAACAGGAAAAGAAAAAGTAAAAAAAAAATTAACATGAATTTGGCAATTATTACTTGGGACTAAGATCTCTGCAGTTTATACTGCTTCACACCTTTATAGAATAATAATGAATAGAAAAAATGCTTTCCTTTTGCTTTGTGAGGTGATAATACCCAGTGATATCATTCAGGGGTTCAGGGGTTTCAAATGGACACTCACACATGAGTTGATTTAGAACTCTCCTGAGTGATATTTTTTTGTTGTTGTTGATTTTTTTTTTTTTTTGGTATTGGGGATTGAACACAGGAATCCTTAACCATAGAGCTACATTCCCAGTCATTTTTGTTAAAAGTTCATATTTTGAGACAAGTTCTCACTAAGTTGTTTAGGGCCCCATGGATAAATTGCTGAGGTTTAGGAACTTCTGATCCTCCTGCCTCAGGTCCCCCAAATCCTTGGGGTTATAGGCATGTACCACCATGTCTGGCGTGATAGATTTTTTCAATACAGATTAAGCCTGAACAAAATTTTTAACAAAATGTAAGAGTACAAAAATCAATATTTCTCACCAGCATGGTAGAGCTTGTCTGTAAACCCAGTGACTTGGGAGGCTGAAGCAGAGTATCGTGAGTTCAAAGCCCACCTCAGCAATTCAAGAGGCCCTAAGCAACTTAGTGAGACCCTGTCTCTAATTAAAAAAAAAAAAAATTAAAAAGAGCTGGGGATGTGACTCAGTGGCTAAACACCCCTGGGTTCAATTCCTGGTACCAAAAATCAAATAGATATATATGCAATGTTTCTTAACCTCTATTTTTATCAATGTGTACTTTGTACACATAAATCAATTAGGAAAGTAAATTTTATAAGTAGAAATCTGTTTATGTTTTCAAGTTGTGGGTGGAAACAAACTTTTTAAAACACCATAGATAGCTACTGAAAAAAGAGGGAGCACCTTGTATTCAGTTAGATAATATATGAGATTTGAGATCATACATATTCCATTCTAATCACTTTTAGAAGTGGTACATTTAGTCTTGTATATAAAAAGCATTTGTTCTAAAGTGAACAATAGATTAGATGGTGGATAATACATTTATTATTATTCCTGAGTTTATATAGCCCTCCTTTCCTGGGTTTGAAGCATAAATAAAGAATCAATATGGCATCATCTGCCACCTGCCAGTCATTGGAATAGATAATTTCTATATTTAATTTCAGTGAAACTTTATAATATCCACCTAAGGTAGATCTCATTATCTTCTTTATACAGATCAACTAGAATGAAAAATTTCAAAATTTGCTCAGTTACTGAATAATTTTAAGTACATATCAGAAGAATGGTCATGAAGTAACATGGAGTATATAAACAGATACATTATTGTGTATCTAGTATGATTCTAATTTCGTAAAATAAAAATGAAATTTGCACAGATAAAACTCTTAGGTGAAACTATAATGAAAGGATAATGACTATGAGTGACAATATACATTTTAAGTTTTTGCTTATTTTATAATTTTTCTATAATTAGTTAAGAATTTTAATCAGGTATTGACTGTTTAACCAAATTTTACTTGCTGAAGGATGGGTACATAGAAAGTGGTAGTTCCAGAAGTCATATTCTAGAATTGAAGTTGTGTCTTTCCTTGTACTGAAAATCCTTCTCAGAGAACTTATTTATTTAATTCCATTGCTACAATTCACATTGGGTCCATTGGAAAAAAGAGGACCAGAAAATAGTTTTCAAATTATTTATTTCTTCAAATAGGATAAATCACTAAGGAAATAATTTTTTTCATTTTTTCAATGTTTTATCAACTTTATGAAAAATCTCTGAAAACTTCCATCTCAGTGGAACCAATAAGCAAGGATCATCCTTTTGAAATTTTCTACTTCATTCAGGCAAAACTGAATTTTTAAGTCTAATGAGGGATTGAAAAAAAAACTTGTTGAACTGAATTTAAAAAACAAGAACGAAGGCAAAATATACCTTATATCATTTTTTAATATGGCCATATGTGACAAAACAAATTTGTTTTCAGTACAAGAAATGGGACCCATGGGCACTCTATCACTGAGCCCAGTCCCTTTTATTACTTTTTTATTTTGAGAAAGGATAAACCATTACGTTGTCTAGGCTGGCCTCAAAACTTTTAATCATCCTGCCTCAGCCTCCTGAATAAAGTGGCTGGGATAACAAAGGCAGGTGCTACCTTAACATTTATTATTACTGATCCTGTGGCCAAATCACCAAATATTTCATCTTTCCATAACCTAATGACCACTTTAGCAGATGTTAACCCCACTGGGTACTTTAAGAATCAAATAAATCAAATTTCTAGTCTAAACAGGCTTAGAAACTTTTCAACAAAGAAATAACACATGCACCTAATACCTCCCTCCACCAGGGATCCATGGCTACTCCAAATTCCAGGTTAACATCTCCCATCAGAGTGCCTCTTAGAACTTGGACCAAGTCACCTGACCTCTTAGGAGATCCCACTACAATGAATAACTAAACCAGGAGCAATTCCAAAATCTCTGAGTCAGCCTAGGATCTGGAGCCTGTAACACTTGTATTCTTGCTTCCCCTCCCTATCTAACCCTGCAGAATTGAAGAAAAAAGAAAAAAATAAATGACCTGTAATGATGAGCTTTGTTCCAGGACCAAACACTTGGATTATTCTGCCATTTATTAACTAGCTATTTTAATAAGTCTTTATAAAAAAAATTTCCTTTTGCATTTACTTTAAAATTTCAGCAATATTTTTCAATATTTATATAAAAACATAAAAGTTAAGTTTGCTGACATTAAACAAAGGCAAAGCTCAAACAAAATCACATTAGAATGTGCAATCAGGAATTTAAGGCCCAAGCACACTGTGCCTGGGCAGCTTGGGTTTTGGTTGTCCTTCCCTATCACATATGTGGGAAACTCTGATTTGATAATTTTTTGTAACTTTGCCAGAAGCATTTAAATCTCCTCCCTTATTAAAGGGTCTCCATGTATAAAATGTTTCTTGGCCTACAATGTAATTTATAATATTTAAAATTTCTTCAATTTCAGAAAGAACCAGTAATAGAAATCATATATTTGATCATTTAATAAATATATATTCAATGTGATTCATAGGTATTTTGCAATTCATATGTATGAATGGGTAGACATCTGGTTTGATAATAAAGTAACTTCTGTTTAGAACCCAATTCCCCTTAATAGGGACTTTGATGAATTATGAGAATGTGAATGCTTACTGATGATCCCTTAAGCACTTCATTGATGATTGACTGCTCTCTTTGACTTGAAAATACCACTTCAGCTCCAGAGCATTGAAACTGCTCATCAAAGGCCCCTAGCCAGTGGCTATTCTTGCAGAAGTCCCATTATGAGTGTTGTAACTAAGAATATAATTCAGCACAGCTGCTATAGTTTTTTTTTAACCAGCTTCAATATTTCTGACACGCTTGATGCCAATACATAAATAAAATTGAGGGTAATAGTATCAAAATGACTTGCCATTTTATAGAAAGAAGTACACTAAGATTCATGTCTTGAATATTTAGTAAATTTATATTCATTATGACTTCCATGATCTCTGTTGGAGAAAAAGAGAGTAATTTCAGTACCATGATTAAAACAAGCATTGTGTTCTTGCATGATTAATATTACAAACTGTTACTAAACTGTACATTAAAAAGTCCCTGTAAAAATTCAAGCTACAAGAAGAGGAAATATTCTTATTATTAAACATGACTTAATGTTTGTAATATTATAAAATGATTCATTCCAAGTGTTTTGGAATAGACAAGTGTCCCCTGAATCCCAGACCTTGAAACAGTTACTAGTCCTGTGACTAGGAAGTAACTGCGTTTCTCTAAGCCTTACTGTTTTCATCTGTAGAAAGGAAATGAGAGGTTTACTTATATAGAGCTGTTGAGTGATGAAAGAGAGCACTAAAACTC